ATAATGTAATTTATACCCCCCTCCCCGGACAATCTAATCGAAACTCGAAAATTCCCCGAGACCAATCCCACGATGCTTCCGAGCAAGTAGTAGATTTAATCGATAACGTTGAAAAATAACGCGTGGTCGCTCCCCCGAGGGGCAATCGTAATCAACCCGCCCGAGTTATGTCCGTTCCGCGGTAATCGCCTGTACATCCTGCAGGTGTCGCGTTTCGTTGTAAAACGCGGCCAAGCAACATTTTTGCCCTGGACTCTCTCTCTCTCTCTCTCTCTCTCTCTCTCTCTCTCTCTCTCTCTCTCTCTCTCCGCCCGAAGACGATACCTCGTGGACGTGCTGGCACTAATTGCACCACGGAATAATTGCTCGATAAACATCCTGTTAATCTCACTTTTATGTTCCATACATTGTAGCTGTGTAGCACGCGAGGGCCTCGTTTTCCCTCTCCGTTCCACGCACACGAAACACGACAATTTCCACTCGCCTCCTCCTCCTCCTCCTCCGTATATCCGGTATATATACACGCCTTTATATTATTATTCCACCCTCCCCCCTTCCACCTTCTTTTATATCCATTACGATGCAATTACGAAACGCGACTCCGTTGCGACCATCTATCCGAATTGCGCGCGATCAGTAAGTGGAATTCGTGGAAACAATCTCTCTTCTATCTTTACGCGAGATAGTTCAACGCGAGTTCCTTTTTTCTTCTTTCCTCGTATATTGTAACGGAATATTTTGTCGATATTCTTTTGACGCAGTATTATTCAGAATTTTTTCGTTTTCCAAGATTAAGAGAGATCACGAGATCACGTTATCGTTACGTTATAATAATTGTAACCGTGGGTTTTAATATCGATAAATTGTTGGAGAAAAATAAAAGAAAATTAAATTTCGAATATTCCACACATATCGTAAATAATACAAAGTTTACGAAATAATAATCTAGAAGAGTTTCGATCCCCTCCCTCCCTGAAAGAAACTCACGAAAACAATAAAGTTTATGGAAAATACGTGGACAGCATGGAGTATAACAAGATATACGGTGTTTGTTCCAAAGTATCTCGGAGGAAGGAGAAAAGAAGTGTACACGAGACTCGTGGCATCTTGTAACGTAAGAGGTAGTGGAAAGAAGTCAAAAAGAAATACTACCGTCACCGTAGACAAGAAAGAAAGAAAAATGAATCCTTTCGGGTTTACTTCTTGAAAAGTAGTAAGAGAGAGAGAGAGAAAGACTCCCTACTTCATTTTTCATCGAATTAAACCGATGATCGATCGGAAAGAGACGAGGAAAAATATAAGAAGAAATATAAGTGAGATCGGCCCCTTTTCACTTCGACAATTTTGTCATACGTTTCAATCCATACGCGAAGAAGAATCTCCTTCGAGAGCATCGACTCCTATTACCAGAGGATCGAGAGGAGAGGGAGGAGGAGGAGGAGGAGGCAAAGTGAAACGTACAAAGCTGGGGGACAAGGCTTGGTATAAAGAGGAAGATACGAAGCTACGTGTCGTGGGAGTAAGCGGTGGAAGAAACGTGGAAAAGGCAGCTTTTTTCTTTCTTTTTTTTTTTTTTTTTACGGAGAAAGAAGAGAAGGAGACTCCGTTTCGCGATAGTTCTCGAGTTACTCGAAACTCTCTGCTGTTTCGAGAGAAGGAGAGCGAGTTGAAAAAGTTCCAACATCGCGAAAGTGTTGTTGGAAAAAAAAAATTGAAGAGAGAGAGAAGCTACGTTGGTCGAGACCCAAGCTCTAAGTGTATCACATAGTAAATTTAGTTTTCCAACCTCCGTTTTACCCCCTCCCCTGCCTCCATCTGTCTCCGCATCCCCCTCGCTCATCCCGCGACTCGACCTCCAAGTCCAGACCTCGACGATGAAATTCCTCCGCGAGCTTTTCCTGAGGGATCGTCGGCCATCTTTCAACATGGCGGACCCAGGCCCCTGGATCCGTTCGAGCGAATCTGGCCGATCAAACGGAGGCTAAGAGCCACGCTTTCGTTCGAGTTAACTCAATCCACTGCCTCTCTCTCTCTCTCCACTATCTCGCTCTTCTCCCTCCCACTCTTGCAACAACACGTCGTCCCTCTCCAACGCGCTTCTATATATATATATATATATATATATCTCTCTCTCTCTCTCCTTCTCGCTCCATACCCCCTCCACCGCCACCGCTCTCTACCACTCTCGCCTCCTTCCCCCTTTTTCTTTCCTCTCCCTCTTACTTACTCGCATCCCTCCACCCTGTTTTCTTCCGCACCACCCACGAGAGAGACCGTTCCAATCGATGAGCTCGCGACAACGGTCCTTTAGACAGTCCTTTTTAGAAGGCCGCGCGGCGCAACGTCTCTCCCGTGGGGGTGCACGAGGGGAGGGGGGAAGAGAGCGATCGGTCCCCCGACGGGGATTCCCTCGAACCTCGAGATCTTTCTCCTCCTCCTTCTTCTCCTCTTCCTCCGGTTTTACACCGGAACGGATACCCTTTCCACTGTAATTCCGCCGTATCGCCTTTTTTCCTCCTCCCCCCCACGTCGATTGATAATAGATAAAATTTAGGTAGGTATGAAACGCGTCTCTGAAAGGGGATATCCTCGAGAGAGGGAGAGAGAGAGAGAGTTGATATCCAGGATTATGGAAAGTATTTGTATCGTAATATTCCTCTACATATTTTTATCATAGAATAATCACAAACGTTGATTATTTTTATTCCAACTTGTTTGAATAATTGTTTCGTATAATTTACTTTCTCTCTCTCTCTCTGATCTTATTTCTCGAATCACGAACGAACGCTTTCTTCAACGTGGAGGGAAATCTTATAATTCGAATTCCAATCCAAAATCTTGGAACGCGATAGCCTATCAATTCTATCCACTGAAGCAGGAGCGTGTTTCCACCAAGGAGAGGAGAGGAGAGGAGAGAGAGAGAGAGAAAAAAGGAAGAACAAAGGAGGCGGCCCGTTAACGAGATTCGCGGGGAGATGAGTGGAGAACTGGGGAGGGGAGGGGGAGCAAGGCGACGCGTGTATCGGGTGTAATCGGTTTCCTCGGGGAATCCCACCCTCTCCGTGGGTGCCGGCGAACCGGAGGGATAATTTGCGGCGTCTCGACGCGGCTGCGTGGTCCAATCCGCGATACCAGCCAATCGGCTCACGGCTGCGCGGACTCGAGCACGTAGAACAAAAGGATCTCCGCCGATAGAGAGGAGAGGCGGCCGTGATCGCCATGCAGGGACCGGCAAAAACCGTGCTGCCATCGATTACCTCCCCTTTACGAGGCCCGATAAAACAAACTCTTTGAGGAAGATCTTCGACTCTCAGTCTCGCCTTTCCCTTTAATTTTTTCCTTCGTCCCGGCTTAAAAAGATTTCAACGATTATGACAACGAAATCTTTCGAACGGAAGATGAAAGTTTTCTTTATATTCGTAAAATTGAATTCGATTAATTGGGACGATATTTCGATCTTAAAATAAAAGGGAAGGAAGGCTTACTCTTTTTCTCCGCTATCGCGTTTTCCTATATTTTTTTCCTTCGTCCCAGCTTAAAAAGATTTCAACGATTATGACAACGAAATTCGCAGAATTGAATTCGATTAATTGGGACGATATTTCGATCTTAAAATAAAAGGGAAGAAAGGCCTATTCTTTTTTTCCGCCATCGCGTTTTCCTTTATTATTTTTTTTTTCGTCCCGGCTTAAAAAGATTTCAACGATTATGACAATGAAATTCGAAAGTTGAATTCGATTAATTAGGACGATATTTCTATCTTTTGTTGGATAAAAAGGAGGGAAGGCCTACTCTTTTTCTCCGCCATCGCGTTTTTCTATATTTTTTTCTTTCGTCTCGGCTTAAAAAGATTTCAACGATTATGACAACGAAATCTTTCGAACGGAAGATGAAAGTTTTTCTTTATAACAAATTGAATTCGATTAATTGGGACGATATTTCTATCTTTGGATAAAAAGAAGGGAAGGCCTATCCTTTTTCTCCGCCATCGCGTTTTCCTATATTTTTTTCCTTCGTCCCAGCTTAAAAAGATTTCAACGATTATGATAACGAAATTCGCAGAATTGAATTCGATTAATTGGGACGATATTTCGATCTTAAAATAAAAGGGAAGAAAGGCCTATTCTTTTTCTCCGCCATCGCGTTTTCCTTTATTATTTTTTTTTCGGCTTAAAAAGATTTCAACGATTATGACAACAAAATCTTTCAAATGGAAGATGAAAGTTTTCTTTATATTCGTAAAATTGAATTCGATCTTAAAATAAAAGGGAAGGAAGGCCTACTCTTTTTCTCCACCATCACGTTTTTCTATATTTTTTTCTTTATTATTATGACAACGAAATCTTTCGAACGGAAGATGAAAGTTTCTCTTTATATTCGTAAAATTGAATTCGATTAATTGGGACGATATTTCTATCTTTGGATAAAAAGAAGGGAAAGCCTATCCTCTTTCTCCGCCATCGCGTTTTTCTATATCTTTTTCCTTCGTCCCAATTAGTCGAATTCAATTATCAAATTAAAAAGATTTGAACGATTACGACAACGAAATTCGCAAAGTTGAATTCGATTAATTAGGACGATATTTCTATCTTCTTCGTTGGATAAAAAGGAGGGAAGGCCTGCCCTTTTTCTCCGCCACCGCGTTTTCCTTTATTTTTTTCCTTCGTCCTGACTTAAAAAGATTTTAACGATTACGACAACGAAATGTTTCGAACAAAAGTTTTTCTTTATATTATAACAAATTGAATTCGATTAATTGGGACGATATTTCTATCTTAAAATAAAAGGAGGGAAGGCCTGTCCTTTTTCCCCCTTTTTCTCGCGAAAAATCGAAAAAATAAAGATCGAATTCAATTTATAAAATAATAAACGTTCCACCGTTAAACCGTGTTTAATTGGAATAATGGGTCCAAGAGAATATATGTAAAATATTGCTATCACGCGAATTCAATGTCGCGAAATAATGCGAGATTTAATGGAACATTTGCGATATTTTCCAGGTGGCAAGGAGGACGATCCAAAGAGTTCCTCGTCGAGCACGCTGAGCTCGGCGCAGAGCAAGAAGCAGAGGAAGGCGCGCACGGCTTTCACGGATCATCAGCTTCAGACCCTCGAGAAGAGTTTCGAGCGGCAGAAATATCTGAGCGTGCAGGACAGGATGGAGCTCGCGGCCAAGTTGCAACTGACCGACACCCAAGTGAAGACGTGGTACCAGAACAGAAGGTAGGATCGACACAATCGAGGAAACTTATGATCCGTTTCACAGATCACTGCCCAGTGAAAATAGGGGGATGGAGATATAATCTTTGAGAGATTCGTAAACAACCTCCTCGCGATCAATCCCTCCAACGACACGATATTGATCGAATAATAATAATATCTTCTCGAATTTTATTCTTTAAAATTCAAAAATAAGACGAAAATTTCCTTTGAGTGAAATTTGATCGCTTCGCTCGAAATTGGGTAAACGAATATCGAAGAAGAGCTTTGTCTCATCAATCTTGAGAGAATTGAGATTCCATTTTCTCGAAGGGATTGAATTTCCTTCCTTCGAAATCGGTTTTCGCAATTTAAAAAAAAACTCTTCCCAATTAATGATTATCTATGATCTTGCGTAACAAACAAATTCGACAGAGAATCCTTGTTCTTCGTCAATCGAGATTGCCATGCAACGGGAAGAAACGCGCGGATCGATAGCTGGTTGTTTTACACAAAAGCGAATCGGAAGAAATCGAGATCGAGATCGATTACTCGGTGCGTGTCAATCCAAGGATGCGGTGCCCCTCCTCCTCCTCCGGGTTTGGGCGAAATGTAGTGGCGCGGCGGCAAAAATGTTTTCGTGACAGGCCGTGTCGAATTCGTAAATGGAAATCGCGGCGGCCAACAAAGGGGCTGTTTACGTGGTTAAACGCAAGGATCGCGGAGAACGTTTCGAAAGTCATGTTTCCTCCCTTCCCTTGCAAACGTCGAAAGGCGTATTGGCGTAATCACGGCGGCGTGAACGATGATCCTTTGGAAAAAAGGAAAAAAAATCTCTTGGGAGGGGATTTTTTTTTCATCGAGATGCGAGTAATAATTTCGACTTTTGGAAAGATCGTTCACGAGCTTTACCTCGTTTCGAGAATAAATCGAGAATCAAACGATTTATTTGGATATTTTAAAAAGGGCGAAAGAAAGAAGAGAATGTTGGAAAATTAAAAATTTCGATGAATTCGATGGAGAGGGGAAAAAAGAAAGGGAAGGGGTAGGAGACTCGATTTTTAGGATCTTTAGCGGCATCCTTTGTATCCGGACGACGGTTTCCACCGAGTCATTCAGTGGCGCCTGCAATTTCGTCTCGATACTTCCCTATCTTTCCTCGATCATCACGCTCGTTAGTCACGAAGATCCAGTTATTTAACATCGAGCAAAAAAGAAAAAATTAAGAAGATCCCGTATTCTCTTTCGATTCGAGGGAAATTTTCGAAAAATTCGCATTCCCATTTAACAAAAAAAAAAAAAAAAAAANNNNAAAAAAAAAAAAAAAAAAAACAAAAGAAAAAAAAAAGAAATCTTCCAACTATTGAATAATCCTCTCAAAAGCAACGAAAGAAGAATTCTAATCAAAGCGAATTCGATTAAACTCCACTAGCTACTTGAATTTTAATACCGAGTCATTGAAACAAATCCCTTAATCCCTCCCTTCCTTCCTTCCTTTTGTCTTTCCTCCACCGAATTTTCCAGAGAATGTAAATTTCCCTGTACAAAGGAATATTTACAGTGAGACCCCTTCGCAAAGAAACCCCTTCTCTCAACCTTTTCTTTTTTCAAGGGTTGAAAGTGCAGCGAGGAACGCGCCTCACTTTCCACGAAAAGAAATTTCGTTCCAAAATCTAAAATTTCCTCGAGAAATGGCTTCACGCCGATTTTCACCCCGTTGTTAAGGGTCCCTCCCTCCTGGGGTGATTAGCCTCGAAACACCCACAACTGATGACTGCGCGACTTCTGCGCCCCCGTTCACCTCGGACGGGCGGCCGATCGGCCGCTCAAAGAAGGCGAATCGTTAATGAGAATCTCCCAACCTCTCCTCCTTGGAGACGAGGTTGGAAAGGGAGAAAAAAGAAGAAGAAGAAGAAAATAAAAAACGCCAAGGGGGGGGGGGCAAAGTCTCTAAACCGTGCCATTAGACTGTCAATTACCGTGGCGACCGTGCTCCGTTAATGACAGACGTCCAAAAATCGGCCGTTTCGACATTTCTCTGGCTACTATTCAGTCCCTCGAATCTAATTGCGACCGGCCTCGAATCGTTTCCCATCTAGCGACCGAAATCCAACCCCCGATCTAACCTGTTAATCTTCCCCCCTCGAATCGTTACATTTAAATTGTAGATGATACAACAAAGAGATAAATACCTTCACGATCGTATCTCGCGTGGTTACGAAAACAAGAAGAAAAATACGTAATTTCGCAAAATCCGATCTAAAAAAATCCAATTTCTCCACGATATTTATTTCCCTTCTCAACAATGATTCTTAACCGTTTCCAACCGTAATTGCTGAGAAAGAAAATGTATCGTCATACCGACGATCGAATCGGGGGGGTTAATTAATCGAGGAGAATGACGATGACGACGATGATGATACGCGTGCCACGATTATCGCCGTGAATTTTCGATGAGAGAAACAGAGAGAGAGAGAGAGAGAGAGAGAGAGAGAGAGGGGATGGTAGGAGGGAGGCGCAAAAAGACGGGGAAAATTAGTGACGCTTCTGTCAGCCGGCTTCTTAAGTGCCCGCTTAAACTTTTGTTGCTCCGTGTACACGCTTCGCCTCTCGAGTGACTCGGCGCCTTCTCGCCGCGGAGGCGCCGACCACACCTCGGGCGCCACGACGGCCGAACGGATCCCCCGGCGAGTCCCCTCTTCTTCTGAACTATCGCCTATCAGGTGTGGGGTGGCCAACGACTTTTCAACAGCGGACTTCATTGCCGTTCACGCCACGAATTTTTAAGTAAATTTATTCGCGATCCGAGCGAAGGTCAACGAGTAGCGGTAGCAGGCGAGGGATGCGTTTAGAGAGATGAATGGCTCGGCGATGAATTTCTTCAAGCGTCATCTTAGGAGAAGGAGGAGGGGGAAGGGGAGGAGTGACAAATGACTTTTCAATGTATCGATATACACACCCTTTCCTTTTTCTTTCGTGAATTTTTTATCGAAGCGATTTTTCTTCGCTTTCGTTGTAATTAAAAGGACGTGATCAACAAGGGGTTTTTAGGGTTTTTGGGGATTCCATCTTTTCCCCTTTGGATTAGATTTTTCAATGGATGGATAATTTATTTGGAATATGAAACGAAAATATTGCCACGCTTTCTTTTTCTTATGTCAATAAAACGATTCTTGTATTAACTATTAATTGATAACAAATATATTTAAATTTCAGAGGAGTTTAACATTAAATCGAAGCGTGCCGATACTTTCGTACGATGAAAAATTTGTTGGCGAGCGAGTTTCGATATCGGCGTAATTTCGACGCGTATGCACTTACGTCGGCCATTAAAGACGAAGTTTCGAGTTCGATTCAGGAGATTCGGGTGCGTGAGAGGAAACGTTCGGATGCCCCCGGGACGTGACTCGTAATTCTAGAGTATTATGCGGTAGCTCGATGCCGCTGCTATCCACTTTGCCTTACGTTTTTCGAAATCGTTACCCCTCTCGTTCTCGCCCTCTCTTTCACTCCTCGAATCTCCCCTCTCGCGAAGAAACCGACCTCCGTTTCGATCTCGAAACCATTCCACCGATACCTCGGAGAACGATGGAGCGATGGAAGTGTCGAATTTTCATCCGAGTTTTTCTCTCTTTCACTCTTCGAAGAACGAATCTCTTCTCGCGAAAAAACCAATTTCCGTTTCGATCTCGAAACGATTCGACCGATACCTCGGAGAACGATGGAGCGATGGAAATGTGGAATTTTCACTCGAGTTTTTCTTTTTTTCACTCTTCGAGGATCGAATATTTTCTCGCGAAGAAATATATCAGAGAACGATAGAAATGACGAATTTTCATCCGAGTTTTTCTTTTTTTCACTCTTCGAGGATCGAATATTTTCTCGCGAAGAAACCGTTTCGATTTCCGTTTCGATCTCGAAACTATTCGATCGATATCTCAGAGAACGATAGAGCGATGGAAATGTGGAATTTTCACTCGAATTTTTTCTCTCGCGAAGAAATATATCAGAGAACGATGGAAATGACGAATTTTCATCCGAATTTTTCTTTTTTTCACTCCTCGAGGATCGAATCTTTTCTCGCGAAGAAACCGTTTCGATCTTCGTTTCGATCTCGAAACTATTCGACCGATATCTCAGAGAACGATAGAGCGATGGAAGTGTCGAATTTTCATCCGAGTTTTTCTCTCTTTCACTCTTCGAAAAACGAATCTCTTCTCGCGAAAAAACCGATTTCCGTTTCGATCTCGAAACGATTCGACCGATATCTCAGAGAACGATGGAGCGATGGAAATGTGGAATTTTTACTCGAGTTTTTCTTTTTTTCACTCCTCGAGGATCGAATTTACTCTCTCGCGAAGAAATATATCAGAGAACGATGGAAATGACGAATTTTCATCCGAATTTTTCTTTTTTTCACTCCTCGAGGATCGAATCTTTTCTCGCGAAGAAACCGTTTCGATCTTCGTTTCGATCTCGAAACGATTCGACCGATATCTCAGAGAACGATAGAGCGATGGAAATGTGGAATTTTCACTCGAGCTTTTCTTTTTTTCACTCTTCGAGGATCGAATCTACTCTCTCGCGAAGAAATATATCAGAGATGGAAATGACAAATTTTCATTCGAATTTTTCTTTTTTTCATTCTTCGAGAATCGAATCTCTTTTCGCGAAAAAACCGATCTCCGTTTCGATCTCGAAACAACTAATATATCAGAGAATAATAGAACGATGGAAACGTTAAATTTTCATCCAAATTTTTCTTTCTTTCAAGGAAGAGTGTGAAAAGAGGGAGTTAATTGAAAGGTTTCGTTTCGATGATCGAAAATTGCATTGCAATGATCGTTTTCGAAAAGAGTGAAAAAGAAGAAGTAGAGGGAAGAGTTCGAAGTGATTAGATTACCTCTAATCTGGATAGACATGACGTCGATTCGTCTAAACGGGAAAATACATAAAATTCCAACGGGATTAACAAGGGTTAAGGCCGGCAACTAATTAAAGTAGTGAGGCTTCCTCGGTGATTC